CGACGGTGTCAAACGCTTTTGAAAGGTCAATAAATAGAGCTGCACAACTCTGCTTATTATCTAAAATACTCGCCACATCATTCACCACTTTCATTGTCGCAGTGATGGTGCTGTGTTGCTTTCTGAAGCCTGACTGATGTTTAGACGTCATTTGTACATAAAAACACCTTTACTGTACCTGTTCACTCACTAGGCGTTCAAGAACCTTAGCCAGAACTGATCATTTATAGATGGGCCTATAATTATTTAATACGGTGGCCTCCCCACCTTTTAGTAGAGGCAGGACATACGCTGACTTCCACCATTTTGGAATTGCATTTGTGCTGAGGGAGACGTTAAAAAGAGTAGTGGGAGGTGGAGCAATACAATCTGCAGCTATCTTTAAAAAGAAAGGTTCTACGTTGTCCGGGCCAGCCGGTTTTCTTAGGATCTAACTTGGTTAAAGCTTCATGAACAACATCAACAGTAAAAGGAGTAAAACTAAAAGGGTTTTCCAAAACACGTTTTTCAGAATCACAGACTGCAGAATCACAGAAGCAGAGTTAGTGACAGAATCAAACAGAGAGCCACAGGACACAACATGCTCATTAAAACAATTTAGCATAGTGGTCTTGTCCGATATAGAGCCAGATGCTGTGGTAATGCACGGAGGTACTCATTACGGATATCACCGGTGGATATCGATTTTATGGCTTTCCAACATTTTCCAGGATTATTCAGGTTCTTTGTGGTTACTGACAGATAGTACTTTGATTTAGCACTTTTGATTTGCGATGTGAAGCTATTTCTTAGCTGCCTAAATCCTAGCCATTCTACCTCTGAGCCTGATCTCCTAGCCTTTGCCCAGGCCTTGTTTCTCTCATGTAGGAGACTGGACAGTTCAGCAGAAAACCAAGGATTGTCTCGTCCCTTTACTCTAAATTTACGCAGGGGTGCATGTCTATCAATGATCTCCATAAAACCAAGATAAAAATAAGACCATGCAGTTTCTACATCAGCACACAGATCGATTTTTCCCCAATCAAACCCAAACAGATCATGAACAAAATCCTGCTCCACAAAATGTTTTATGTCTCTCTTAATAAGAATACAAGGTTTAACCTTCTGGACCTTAGTGTTCCTAATTGTGGCTACAGCACAGTGGTCACTCACATCATTTGCAAATACTCCCACAGATGAGTATTTATAGGGAACATTAGTTAAAATGAGATCAATTAGGGAGGATTTATTAGGGGACTTAATGTTAGGGGCGAGTAGGACTGTCAACAATCTGAGTAACATTTAAAGAGATACAAAGGTTTTTAAAATCCTCTGATACTGCAGTTAACCAGTCCCAGTTAAAATCTCCAAGTAGCACTATTTCCTTGCTGCAATATAAGATTTGCTAGCGAAGACAAGGAGTCCTTGACAGCTGAGGGGTGTCTGTAACAGCCCACCACCATGACCTGTTGCCCCTTTGCCAAAATTCGAATTGCTTACTGATAGATTTGGAAACTAATGTGGATACACTGAACTGATTCTTAACATAAATGGCAACGCCACCACCTTTATTAGGCCGGTCGGAACGATACACATTTACACCATTTAAGGCAATGTCAGAGGCCAAAATAGATTTATTTAGCCATGTTTCTGATAAAACAATGACGTCAGCGTCAGTCGAGCTCGCCCAAATGCGGACAAAATCTAGTTTACCTAACAGACTGCGCACATTCAAGTGGATGAAACCCAACCTAGACCTAGCTTTAAAATCAGCAGGAGTAGCGATCTGACTACTACTACTGGGCGGACCAGGGTTAGGTTGTACATTTCCTGACAGTAATAGCAACAAAAAAAAACAGGCATCTTTTCCTCTTAAACGACACACAAACATTGTCATCTACTTTATGATAATCCCAATAACTGAAATTCACTTGTATTGTCCTTCAGGGCCGGTCCTACATTTTGGTGCCCTAGGCGAGATTATGACTTGGTGCCCCCCCCCCCCTCCAAGCAATACACAATAGAATATATCAAGAATAAATGAAAAATCTCTACAAAAGACCAATACACTACAAAAACTGAAATGTATCGACATGTTGGTTATATACATAAAGAAGGTTTCAAATGTATTCATTATTGTATGAACATGTTGTAATTGGGGGGTGGACGTCAAATCCTCTAGGGGGGTCCGGTGGTATGACCGTAAAGATTTTAAAGTAAAATTCTTCAATCTGGTGCACTTTGAGCAAAATTACGAGAGACAAGATCTAGGGGGTACAACTTTAAACACCCATATAAAAAAGATAGGTTTACATTTTAATAACCAGATAAGTATGTGAACATAACCAATCACCTACCATAGCCAATAACAAATAAATGTAACTTATTGAATTTTTGTTGTTCATTTATATCTTATTTGATCTAGTTAACATTTATTTATTCATGCATTTTTTTAATATCTCCAGTTTTAAACGATATTTTTGGTTTACTGTCCTATAGTATGCATTGGAATGATTTTAAACCTGTTTATATTTATCCTAATAATTATAAAGGAGTGCCTTGGAAATATTTGTTTACATAAATTGTGACTAAATCGTTTGAGACCCACTGAGATAATTTAGCCTAAAGTGAACTATCTAAACCCTCAGAGTCCTTTACCTCACTGAGCTGTAGTTATCAGCCTCAATCCAACAACAATCCGCTGAAAATTAGGATGAGCCAAACAGTCAAAAAAAATGTTTTCCCTCCCAGAACTACCAGCGTCTATGTCGCCTATGCCAAAGACCGACCCTGTCCTCCTTACAGACACTACTATTTAAAAAGGGAAAGTAAGAAATGGTTGACCCAGGAAAAAAACATGAAGATAAAATGTTAGTATTTGGTTGTCCAAAGTTAAGACAGAGACATATTTCTTGGCATATGTGATATTCAGTCTTACACAAGGATAAAATACACAAACATGTGATGGAATGAAGCAGCAGCATCATTCCAGCCCGACCTTCAGACCCTCCAAGACATTAATCAAGTCCCTTACCGAGGTATTGGATTTCTCTCTCACATGACCAGTAAAAACCTGCTCCTCAGTAATAACATATTCCTCTGTCTGTGAATGATGACTTGATTCATGAGAAATCCTTCCAGAATGCTGAAGGTCAGTGAAGTAATGTGATTACCTTCTGCGGTTGGATCCACAGAATATATCATCTTTTTATATCTTGAGCTGAGCACAGTATCCATCTTGTGTGTCTCTTGCTGGGTGTGGTTTCATTGTAATTATTTTATGATGACACCCTCTTTTAAATCAATGAATTACTTGTATCCATAATCATTGACATTGTCTCATCAGCAGGCTATTACAACATTAGAATGACTCAGTACTGTTCTCCTGCTGTTAAAAGACAGCTGGTTGTGTTATTGTCATTGGAAAATGTTGTCTAGACTTTTTGGGATGGCACGATATATAGGAATTTGGTGCATTGTGGTATATTTTGGTTCTTAATACATATCCTTACCAGTGAAAAGGCCGTCAAGCTCGCTATCAGGGTAGTTAAAAGAAAGCCTTATTTAATGATTTGTTTTATTTCAGAGCAACTTAAAAAATGTCTGTCTCTTTGATCCTCAACAAAACGAAGCTAAAGTGACTGCAGTATCTTTAACTTCCACTATAAGAGTTTTAAACGCATATCTTATTGTGAGTCGCATGACATTTCATATCGTCCCATCTGGCTTTGTGGCTGTTTTTCTTTCAAGTAAAACACCGTGAGTTGAAGTCAGGCTGATCTATTTTGTGTAGTTCGTCTATAGTCCAAATCACTAATTTCATTATAACCTACGCGGTAATTGACCTGTCTGTGCACTACATGTTCTATGCGTAGAGGTGGAGGATGAATGCAAGGGAACGATGTTTCCATGGTTACCTTATAATTTAACACACAAACACACACACACTGTCCTGATTGTACTGGAAGTGTCCTCTGGCCAACACTGCTCATTAGCCTCCACCTCTCTCTCTGCTGGGAGCCATAACACACACACACACACACACACACATACACACACACACACACACACACACACACACACACACACACACACACACACACACACACACACACACACACACACACTGAACAAAAATATAAATGCAACACTTTTGTTTTTGCTCCCATATTTCATGAGATGAACTCAAAGATCTAAAACAGTTTTCTATATACACAAAATAACCATTTCTCTCAAATATTGTTCCCAAATCTAGAGTGGCCTTTTATTGTGGCCAGCCTAAGGCACACCTGTGCAATAATCATGCCGTCTAATCAGCATCTTGATATGCCACACCTGTGAGGTGGGATGGATTATCTCGGCAAAGGAGAAGTGCTCACTATTACAGATTTTTTCAGATTTGTGAACAATATTTGAGAGAAATGGTTATTTTGTGTATATAGAAAATGTTTTAGATCTTTGAGTTCATCTCATGAAAAAATTTTGTTCAGTGTAGTAACGCAGGTTCGGCCTGGTTTCATTCTTTATTTTCCACTTTTAGCGTCCGTTTCAAACTTTAATGTGGGGCCTGTCAGTTAGAGATGTTTTACCCATAACTGTTCCCCCCTCGGTGTATTCCCCAAACTCTGTTCCTACTCTTTTTGTTAATAGATTTTTTTTATAACTCTGCAGTGGCGGTCTCGGCCGGCCAGTCTACAGATTTTCATTGACGCTATATGTCAAGAACAACTTTAGGGAATTTACTCTACTTTTGGCACAAAGGTCCACTTGGAATTAAGGATGTGTTGATTATAATTTGTTGGTCAAAGGCTGAAGGTCACTGTGACCTCCCAAAACACATAATTGGCCATATCTCAAGAGTGAATGTGTAAATGATGCTCATTTCATATTGTAGGGTCAGATACAGTGGTACAATTTTGACAGACATGGATATAAACTCCGACTAGTTCACGGAGCATACCAGCCAATGGCAGTAATTCTATTTTTGATCTTTGTGTAACCCTGTTGTCCTCCACTTGCAGGGCGTGGGTCTGTCTGTTCATGGACGGTTTCGAGTGGCCACTGAGAAGACGCTGTTTGCCATGCCAGAGACTGCCATTGGTAAGACTGACCAGCTGTTCCAGCTCCTGGGGGGGTGGGGGGCACAGGTTGGCCCACATCAGTGTGAGCGGGTATCTAGACCAGGGGTCGGCAACCCCTGGCACCGTAACCAGTGGCACACTAGGAATAAGTGGAATAAGTGTGCAAAATATTTACATTTTATTTTCGGATCCTGAACGAGACCACCACCAGAGCGCGTCTCCCCGTTACCTGCAGAAAGAAGCCATGCACGCAACGCAGCCCCGCTCTCTTTAACTCCAGTCGACTTGCTGCTGCTTTCCTCCGTGGTGAAACGATCAGTGGTGTAGTGCTGCCGGAGCGCGCACGCACTTCACAAATTGCAGTAGGCTACCCATAAGGAGCTGTACAAATGCCGCCGTTTTTTTGCGTGGCTGTGTCTTTAGTTGAAAGCCCAGTGGCGATCTGCTCATCTCTCATCGAAAATAATATGCTACACAGGGGCGGACTGGCCATCTGTGTGTTCTGGAGAATCACAGAACGGACGGTCGTCATTATTATTATGCCGTTTAAACCAATTATTTAAATTTGTTTATAAAACGGACAAGTCAAATCCAGCAATCTGATTGGTTCTTAACCGTGATATAATGAGCGTATATCACGGGTAGAATTGTAGTTACTTTTCACAAGTCATGTATGCCTCCGCGTCTGAGAAAAGCTACAACCGTTACAAATGTTAAATTACATCCGTTACGGAACTAACTAACTAACAAAGCTTAAGATGGAAACATTTAAAGTTAACTTCGACCTCCGGGGTGGCCTTACTATGGAGGAGTGGATTGAGCAGTGCCTATCTCCAGAAAAAAAAGCACCTAAACGACGACATGCAGAGCTACGTGAAGAGCAGGTAGACTAACTCCCCTTTTGTGTATGTTCAGCTCTCAACGTGCCCAGACTTGTAGTCATTTTCACCTCTTTTAATACTTTTCGCCTCATTCTGAAAGAAAGAAGTGAAATGTGCCAATGTGACGGCCGTCTTGGTGTGTGATGCGAGACGGGAGATGTAGTTCACTTTTTACGACACATTTTTATTTTTTTGACTTGCAAAATTATCTTTTAAATGGACAAACATCATATGTGTAATTCGTGGCACAATTCAAACGGGATCGAAAGATAATCTTTCTCTCGCCATTGACTTCAATACATACTTTTTCCGAAATAAGGTCCCATGAAGTTCCCCCGGAAAGGGAGGGACTTCGCCACTCTATAGGCGGAGCACCCCTTTTCTGACCTCAGAAAAATTCAAATATTAATCAGCTCCGTTGCAGCCCCGTTTTTAGAGATTTGGGTATGGAGGAAAAGAGAGAGGGTTGTGTTTTCTGACCCTTGGTGAGTTCCCTGACACACCGGGGACAGTTCACGGCACACTGATCACAATTTTTTTTTAAATGGCACTTCATATCAAAAAGGTTGCCGACCCCTGATCTAGACCATTAATAATTTAGGAGCTGTGATTACATTACATTGCATTTAGCTGACGCTTTTATTCAAAGCGACTTACAATAAGTACATTCGACCAGGAAGACACAACCTTGAAGAAAACAGAATCATATAAGTACATCAGGTTTCATAGAGCCAAAACATTTCAAGTGCTACTCAACTGGCTTTAGATAAGCCAGTCCTTTATTAGTATATAAGTGCTTTGTTAATAGTTCTATCGCTCGAAGTGGAGTCGAAAGAGATGAGTTTTCAGTCTGCGCCGGAAGATGTGCAAGCTATCTGCTGTCCTGATGTCAATGGGGAGCTCATTCCACCATCTTGGAGCCAGGATAGCAAACCCACGTGTTTTTGCCGATGGGAACTTGGGTCCCCCTCGCAGCGAGGGCGCAGCGAGTCGTTTGGCTGATGCAGAGCGTAGTGCACGCGCTGGGGTGTACGGTTTAACCATGTCCTGGATGTACGAAGGGCCAGATCCATTCGCAGCATGGTAAGCAAGTACCAGTGTCTTGAAGTGGATTCTAGCAGTTACCGGAAGCCAGTGAAGGGAGCGGAGGAGCGGAGTGGTGTGGGAGAATTTAGGAAGGTTGAAGACCAGACGAGCCGCTGCATTCTGGATGAGCTGCAGAGGTCGGATGGCACATGCAGGTAGACCAGCCAGGAGGGAGTTGCAGTAGTCTAGGCGTGAGATGACGAGAGCCTGGACCAGAACCTTCGTCGCTTTCTGTGTCAGCTGGGGACATATCTTCCTGATGTTGTAAAGCGTGTATCTGCAGCAGCGGGTTGTAGCAGCAATGTTTGCAGTGAAGGACAGTTTGTTATCTAGGATCACACCCAGATTCCTTGCAGTCTGAGTCGGGGAAACAACTGAGGTGCCGATGTTGATTGTTAGGTCAAGAGTGGGACAGTCTTTTCCCGGAAGGAAGAGCAGCTCAGTCTTGTCAAGGTTGAGCTTGAGGTGATGAGCGGACATCCACTGAGAGATGTCAGCTAGACAAGCAGAGATGCGTGCGACGACCTGGGTCTCTGAGCGGGGAAAGGACAGAATTAATTGGGTGTCGTCAGCGTAGCAGTGGTATGAAAAACCATGCGGGCTAATGACTAATCCGAGCGAGTTTGTGTACAGGGAGAAGAGGAGGGGACCAAGAACAGAGCCCTGAGGGACCCCTGTAGTTAATTGACAAGGGTCGGACTCAGACCCTCTCCAAGTCACCCTGTAGGTACGGTCTTTCAGATATGAGGTGAGGAGGGAAAGTGCAGAGCCTGAAACTCCAAGTTTTTGGAGAGTGCGAAGGAGGATCTGATGATTCACCGTGTCGAATGCAGCAGACAGGTCCAACAGGATGATGACAGAGGAGAGGGATGCAGTTTTGGCAGTGTGCAGTTCCTCCGTGACAGCAATGAGAGCAGTTTCTGTGGAGTGACCTGCCTTGAAACCAGACTGGTGCGGATCCAGAAGGTTGTTCTCATGGAGATAACAGGAGAGTTGTTTAAAGACAGCGCATTCAAGTGATTTAGACAGGAACGGGAAGAGAGAGACAGGCCTGTAGTTTATAACATCAGACGGGTTGAGAGTAGGTTTCTTTAGGAGAGGGTTTACTCTTGCCTCCTTGAGACTGTTTGGAAAGTGACCAGAAGTTAGAGAAGTGTTGATGAAATGGGTGAGAAACGGTAGAATATCAGGTCTGAAGGAGGTTTGAAGGGATAGGGTCCAGAGGACAGGTGGTAGGGCGGGCAGAGGTAATGAGGGTAAGAACCTCACTTGGAGAGAGATGGGAAAAGGAGGTAAGTGTGTTGGTGGAAGGAGGGTCTGGTGACCCAGTGGTGAGTAAAGGTGAGTCAGAAAAAGAAGAGCGAATATCATCAACCTTTTTTTCAAAGTGGGTAACAAAGTCGCTTGACAGAAGTGAGGAGGGGGGAGGGGCTTTTGGAGGGTCCAAGAGGGTGGAGAAGATGGAAAATAGTTTTTTCGGATTGGAATAGGAAGATTGGATCTTATCTTGAAAGAAAGTGCTTTTTGCCTGAGAGATCGAAGCAGAGAAAGAGGAGAGGAGAGCCTGATAGGTTAGGAGGTCGTCACGGTGTTTGGATTTCCACCGTTTCCGCTCTGCTGCCCTAAGGACGGTTCTATTAGCACGCAGTGCATCATTTAGCCAGGGAGCAGGAGGGGACTGACGAGCCTGCCGAGATGTGAGAGGACAGAGAGAGTCCAGAGTGGATGAGAGAGTAGAGAGGAGAGTTTCTGCAGCAGAGTTTGAAGGCAGGAGTTGGAACGAGTCAGAGGAAGGGAGGGTTGAGAGCACCGACGAGGCAAAGGTAGAGGGGGAGAAGGAACGAAGGTTACGGCGGACAAGTGCAGGATGAGAAGAGATTAGTTTGTTATGTTTGGAAAGGGGTAGAGAGAATGAAATGAAGAAGTGATCGGATGTGTGGAGCGGGTTTACAGAGAGGTTAGAAGTAGCGCAGTTCCTTGAGAATATGAGATCAAGGACATTGCCAGCTTTATGAGTCGGTGGGGATGGAGACAGTGAGAAAGCAAAGGCGGTTAACAGGGATGTTAGTTCGTCTATCTTCCCTGTCTGGAGGTTGAAGTCTCCGAGAAGTACAGCGGGAGGGCCAGTTTCAGGGATGTGTGAGAGGAGATGATCTAATTCCTCCAAGAAGTCCCCCAAGGCGCCTGGTGGACGGTAGAGAACAACAATGGCTAACTGTATAGGATGGGTTACTGTGACGGCATGGAATTCAAAGGTGGAAGGAGTGAAGTTAGGTAGCTTGAAGAGGGAAAAGCTCCATTTGGGAGAGAGCAGGAGACCAGTGCCACCTCCTCTGCCAGTTGGTCTGGGTGTATGGGAGAAGGAATATGCAGTGATTACAGTTGCACTTCCAGCTGGATCCCATTCAAATGCATTCATAGACATGAGGTCTGTCTGTGTGAGAAGCAGGGAGGAATACACAGAGGGAGAGATGAGATGTATTCAGAACAGCAGCTGATAGTTGACCTCATCCTGATATAAATGGGTAAGGGCAGCAAGTAGCCATCAACCATTGGCGAGATCAAACAGGTTATAACACTTTCTGTCAGTTGTACATGCTCATAAACAATTAAACGTAATTGTTAAATGCTCACATTGACAATGATAAAAGTTTATAAAGTAATGTTCACTACATTCACCATAACCGGGTTAGTGTGTTAGCATGCTAACATTTCCTAGTTAGCTCCATGAAAATCAAAATGGTCCGATCGTCATTCAAATCATGCAAGCATGGTTTTTCACTTATATTAACTTTGCAAGAAAGGGCACTTGGTCTTTGCGGAGGTCTCTGCTTTTTTGCTGCCTAAATGAATTATTCCAAGCAAAAAATTAAGGTTTATTGCAACAAAAGCAGAACGCATACCATTGCCAAGGACCATGCTCCTTGGATGGTCCCATTACCTTAGTTTGGAATTTGTATTTCCGACTTCAGTGTGTTCATGAGCCGTATGTTCTAATGTAGAAACAACATGGACATGCAAACACTGCTGTGTTGTAATTAATTGTGTTCAA